TGTCGTTTCTCCGATCACAAATGCAGACATGGTTTTATGTTTACGCGGCACGATACGCAACGCGTAAAAACACAGTATAAGTCATTATAATCAGTAATTATGTCCCCACTGGATGCAACAAATGCCTCGTTCGTAATGGGTTTAATTGGTTTTGTCTCGCTGTCCCGGGAGACGGCATCACAGTGTGTTAAGGGACATAACATTTCTGTCACACGCTTGAGGTATTCAGCCAATCACAACACACTGGATAGCTGGCCAATCAGAGCACAACTCGCTTTTCTTTGATTAAAGGCTGAAGAATGACTCGTGGAAAGTGGCAACAGGTTGTTTAAAACCCACCTGTTGCACACCGATCCCTGATACGAGTTAAGTCAAATTATTTATTATGACTAGCAATCAGAAAATGTCACCATTAGTGCACTTTTTTATGTGATAGAAATATAGGGTGGCCATTTTTACGGGACGTGTCCTTGCCAGGATTTCTATATTGCCTAAAATATCCAGGTTTTGGCTGTTTACACTGTGCCGATCGATCGTTGTATGACATTCACGGGAGCTTTTGAGAGCAGAGCAGACGGCTCCTTATGCTTTCGAATCGCTCTCGCGGTACTTTGGTGTCATTCAATGATCGGTGCGCAGCGACGCTTCAAGTCGAACGAACGAACAAACGTGCGCTTATTTGCATCGCTTTGATCGTTCTCTGTAGATCTCACCTTCTCACGCGCCACGATTGGTCGATTATATACAATACCTTCATGTTATTGGTCAAACTACTTTGGATGTTTTAGGCAATATAAAAATCCCGGCCAGTACGTGTCCCGTATGAACGGCACATATATGGCCACCCTAGATAGAAATCTCAATACAAACTCCTCCTGGATCCTTTTTCATGGGTGAATTTCACCAAACATGTCAAATAGAATCAAAAGGAAAATAATAAATGATATTTTATGTAAAGAAAACAAAGCTTATTTAAAAACAATTTAGATTTCTTATATTTTGTATAGCCTAATTAAACTTAATTATACAAAATTGTTTAAACTTAAAAATAAACAATAAAAAATTATTGTGCTGCTTTTCATTTTCCAGTTCATGTTATTTTAAAGTTTAATTAGTATTTTTACTGCAATAAAGTAAAAAAAATACTGTATTGTAATTAGAATCATTTTATATAATCATATATTATACTTATGACAAACTTAAAAGCAAAATGTACTAATTCAATGCAGTAATTTGAAGTTAAAATGTGTTTAAATGTCATGAAAATGACATGTAGAAGCAATGCAAAAACTGATTTAGTCTTAGCAATATAGCAATAATAGCTTAATTTTCTTCACGTAAAATATGGTGTCTTATTTATTCCTTTTGATTTTAGAGGTGAAATATGACCTGGACATGTTAGCAATGCCTAGGCCCACACACAATCTGAATATTCCATTATTATTATTTTTTGTGCATTTTTGTTGTGCTGAGTTTTGTGGGCAAAAAAAAAAAAATTTGAATTTTGTGGACTGGTTTTAATTTGGGAAAATATGTCAAACTGAGCTGAAAGCCTTCTCAAATTAACAAACATTTTTAGTAAACAAACACACCAGGGTGCAAGCTTTGTAAATAATGAGTGAATTTTGCAGAAATCTGTGGGCAGTGATTTCATGCAGGCCTAGCAATGCCCAAACATCTTCGGCAGAGTTTCCATATTCTAACAGATGATGAATCACAGTCGATCCTCTTGCCAGCTGACATTATAATTAAACTCACACCTGCTCAAACCAGAGATCACGTCTTCTCGTAATCTCATCTGATCACCTCCACCTTGAGCTCGTTTCTGAACCACCAATTACTTCAGTCCAAAGGTGGTGAAGCCACAGCGGCGCTGTTTTGCATGAGTGTAATTGGGCTGCTGTCTGCCAAAAACGGCACTGTGGACTTCTACCAACAGACATATTCTAAATTTATTGCTGAAAACACGCTGTAATCAGTTTGGTGCAGAATCCAAGACTGAAGAGCTTGTTTTAAATACTTGCCGATGAGTGCACATGAAGTAAGTTTATGTTACTTTGAACACTTTGAAGTCTGATATTTTGTTCTGTTTTTGATGACATCTGGAAATTAGCCAAGTAGATGTTCTTTGGTCTTTTGTTGCTCTTAAATTAATAATTTCTATTAAATATTCATTGACCAAATCCTAAAATCATAGGGATATGATTGAGTGATGAAAATGCCCTAAACTTAAAATATGAAATCTGATTGGCTGACTGTAATATTCTTCCATCACAAGCAAGGATGTTGATGAAGGAACATGTTCTACTTGGCTAAATTGAGTTTAGCTAAATTTCAACAGGCATGAGAAGCTGATACCCAGCTAACAATGAATGTTTTCAGAACTTTGGCTAATGTTCTGGCAGGGTTCTCTCAAAGTTATGAACAAATGTTCTTCCAGTAATCCTAATGGGACATTTGTTCAGTTATCTGGTCTTTAATAATGTTCTCAAAATGTTAGCACAAAAACATTATTTATACATTGTTTAATTTCTAAAATGTTTGAGTTGGATAATTTTTTTTTTATTTATTTTTTTAATTCAAAAGTAACATTCCCATAATGTCTGGAAAATTATTAAATAGAATGTATCCTCAAGGGGCCATTCACACAGAACTTGTTTTTCCAGTCCAATGTGGTACTTTCCATTGTTTTTCTATGTAAATGTGTTAGACGTCTTCTGCAGTGTCTTGCACATGAGCGGCTTGTTTTTAAGATGGCGTGTCACTTTAAAAGAACTTCAACTTTTACACAGTGCCACACATCAATGTCAGTTCAAAAACAGTGGACTAATCAGAAGACCCCAGAGGCGGGGCAAGCCTTGCAAGCTCCATAGCAAGTTGGCATGGCCACTGTTGTTTTTTAAAGGGGTCATACGATGCGATTTCAATATTTTCTTTCTCTTTGGAGTGTTACAAGCTCTTGGTGCATAAAGATCTGTAAAGTTGCAAAGACTAAAGTCTCAAATCCAAAGAGATATTCTTTATAAAAGTTAAGAGTCAGCCACACCTACCTAAAACGGCTGGTTCTAACACGCCCCCACATATCTACGTCACGATGTGGGAAGATTTGCATAACGCCACCCAAATGTTCACGCAAAGAAAGAAGGCGTAACTTTGATTGTCACTGTAGTATTGTTGTTGCCGCTGCCATGTGGTGAAGACGCTGTGTTTCGTTGTGAAAGCGAAACTACTTTGTTTAACATTTTTCACCAAATACACAAAATAATGTTCTTTTTAGCAACATCATATGACCCCTTTAATATTTAATGGCAACATGGCGGAGGAGGCATTCCTCTGTGCTTTCTTAAAATCCATTCCTGAGCACTGCGTCCCATGTTTTTAGTTCTGTGTGATCAGCCTCTTAATGTTCACATAACAAAACCATTTGGACATTTTGAATGTTCAGAGAACATGCAGAAGTAACTTAAAAAAAAAAAAATGTTTATAACGTTAGCAAAACATTCTTAGAACTTATTTTTGTTAGCTGGGTAATGCCTTGCAAAACCAAGGTAAACAAAGGCCATTAAAAAAAAAAAAATTGTCTTTGCTGACCTTTCTGTAAATGTCTCCTTTGTCCTGTTCAAAGGAGTGTGGAATCATGTGTTTGTTTGCATTTCACTCAGAAACTAAAGTCTAAATTAACTCAACCGGTCAATATCAATAATCGAGTGCGTACCGCTGAACAAAACCTCTTCAGAGATCTCAAAACAACGTGACAAACATACACAATGAACTCTTCAGGGCATGAAACAATTAATTTAACAATTTGCCACCTCACTTATTCTTGCAGATGAGAAAATGTCAAATCACAACAGAAGTTAAAAACAGACTTTCACGTACAATTTCATTTGACATCTTCACCGCAAAACCACCCGCGACATTTGAGTTTTGATATTTACTGCAAAAAAGGTCATTTAACTTCTACTATTGAGTCATGAGAGTGCTTGGATGTTTTAAATGATGTTTGACAACTTCATTCATCACTCAGCATTTTCCCTGACTACTGTATGAATAAATAAACTGACACTGCACAATTACAGATAGTTTAATCCAGAAGAGCTCACAAAAAGGTGCAGAAACTGCTACATGGGTCCTCCAAAGATGTCCAGGGTGAGTTCTGTGTCCATCAAAGTTAATTTCATTTTGGTCTGATTTCTGCTTCCGGAGTTCCACAAATCTCGGTGCAGCCGCTCTTCAGAATCTCTCGTTCCACCACTGGACCATTTCCAGTTGGCTCTGAGTTGAGGTTCTGGGTTTGTCAAGAGGTTGAAGGACGTGCCCTGTGAGATTTGGACCACATCGAGAGGCTTGGGGCAAACGGGCCCTGTGACATGTAGGTCCATATGGCAGGGGCATGTACTACAGTATGTTTCCCATAATGCACTTCCTCACCAGGGGACTCCAACAGTTGGTCCTTACATATGGTCAGTCTCTGTTTGGAAAAAAAAAAAAAAAAAAAAGAGCATAAGGAATTGATTAGTAAAAAACTGGAACAAAAACAATGGTAATAATTAAGTGTTACAATTTAAAAGAACCATTTTCTATTTGAATACTTTTTCAAATGTAGTTTCTGTGATGCAAAGCTGAAATGGTTTTTGCCTTTTTTTTTTTTTTTTTTTGTGATGTATTTTTTTTTTTCAGGATTCTTTGAAGAGTAGAAATTTCAGAAGACGAGGACTTTTGAAACCGAAATAGAATGCAAGATAAATTTCTTTACTGTCATTTAAAAAAAAATCAATTTAATGCGTCCTTGGTGAATAACTGTTTTCTTTATTCAACTTCTTTTTACTTAACTTTTAAATGGTTCTCACAACAATATCAGAAACAACAAAAATGTTCAACATTGATGATAATCAGAAATGTTTCTTGAGCAGCAAATCAGCATATTAGAATGATTTCTGAAGGATCATGTGACACTGGAGTAATGGTGCTGAAAATTCAGCTTTGATCACAGGAATAAATTAGTTTAAAATATTAAAATAGAAAGCAGCTATTTCAAGTTGTAATAAAATTTCACTACATTACTGTTTTTACTGTTTCTGAATAAATAAATACGGTGAGCATAAGAGACTACTGTACTTCCAAAAACATAACAAAAAAATCTGGCATTGTATCTATTATTTTTTTGAAACTTCTATGTTTTTGTTGTAGAACTAATCTGTGACTGATAGTAGTGAGAAAATGTGCCTGTTCACTAATACTGGATCACCCATCTGACAGAAAATTAGCCCACTATATGGACTCTGTTGCTGAATTAATTGGGCGAGACCAAGACAAGACACCTGACTGGAAGCTGACTTGATTTCATTACTGTACTATATACAGCATTTTATTGCAAACACAAAGATGCACATGCCTTGAACAGACCAGGAACTGTCTATTTAGAGAGAAAGAGGCCTCGTCACATGTAAAGTGTTTTGATTGCTTTATTTGATGTTTAGAGGTGAGCTAAGAGGTGATGTAGAAGATAACAAGATATAAGGACTGCTGCAAAGCATCTGCTAAATGGGGGGAAAAAAGTGAATGCAATTTATAAATGCATTTTTGAGTGCAGTATGCATCAGATAGTTCAAGTGTAATATGCACAGAAGCATTGTCTATTTGTGTAACTGGCAACTGTATGTGTGTGTGTGTGTGTGTGTATCTGAAGAGGTGGACAGCAGAAATGTCACACTCTGTGGCCTGTGTTTGGTACGGCTCTTGGAGCACACGCACTCAAGAGTGGACATGACAAGTGCAGGTTTCACTGTGTGTTCTTACAGAAATCTGCCCACAGTACAAGAGAGGGAGAGACAGTGAGTTGGCAGACCTTCTCTAATAATACACCATGTGCTGCCTCCGAGATCTTTCTCTGAATTCAGGCCATGTCTCTGGTGTGTGAAGCAGACATATGCACCCCTGACCAGACCGGGGCAGAGTGCATGCTGGGAGATCATTCCCAGAGCAGCAGGAGACTGAGAGGTTAGCCAGTGCTAACATTAGCATAACATTAACCCAAAAGAACCATCAACATAGAGCCAGACACATCAGTGTCTCTTTAAAATAGGTTTGGGAATTGTAATGCATTTAACAATTCCAGTTACTTAACAATTGATAATGCAGTCAATGTGCATTACTACTGATATAATGCATATCTTTAGCAAAACATTATATTATTGTACATCATGTGAAAAAAAAAAAATGTTGTAGGTCTCACAAACCTTAAGCATGACGTATAACATGATATCAATCTGGACAAACGATTTGCAGTTTAGTAAGCGAGTCGTATTAATTGAGAAACTGCTCCAATTGATTAATAAGTGTTTGTGATTCACTAAAAAGTTAGTAATAATAATAATAATGTATAATATAATAATAATAATATATACACACACATAAAATATAGTTCTTATAGACCGATATATAGATATTAACAATATGTAGTAATAAGTATTATTAAATGTTTTTCAAAGTTTAAATATGATGAATATACATATATATACAGTAAAGTTATACATATAGTATATTGATATTTTTTCTTTTCAGTTCTGTCCCCACTGAAAGCAAAAATGCTGCACCAATCAGTCATCTCAGCCAATCAGAACATACTTGATGACAACACAGCTATATGGATCAATTTTTGACCAATGAAATTTCACAGTGGGCGGGGCCACCCAGCACAACCACATAATAGAAAACATGCGTTAAACTCCGATTTATTTACATAAAGACGCGATTTATCGCTTGAAGCTTTTTGGAGTCGTGCCTGCTTTAAAGCTCACACATGAAATCTCAGTGTCTTACTCATCTCGTTTACCTGTCTCGCAGCAGTTTCAAAGTCTCCGCTCAGAGGCTGAAGCTTTCAGAGACTCCTGTGATTGTTAATGAGGGGGTTCAGCACAAACGACAGGCTTAATTAGATGGGTATTCAGTCAGACTAACACAGCTACAGCGTCTTGCTGACACACTTGTGCACTGTAAGAGAACAGTGTGTATGTGTTCCTCCTCAGACAGCACACCCACGGACGAGTCGCTGGAGTTCACAGAGTTAGTGAGGTTCACGCCATCAGATAGTTGAAAGATGTTCAAGAGTTGTGTTTGAGACACTAAAAGGCCTGTCAAACTATGTTTAAAGTGAAAGTTGACCCAAAATGAAAATTCTGCCATCATTTACTCATTCTAGACCTGTGTGGTTTTATGTGGAGCAGAAAAGACGGTATTCTGAAAAATGTTTGAACTAATTTTGTCCATATTTTTGAAAAGTCAATGGACCCCTCATGTCCCCTGCAAAAATGATGTTCCTCCTCAGTATTTTTGTCTTGTTTTTCAGTACAAATATCTAAACATTATTAAATCAAGCAAAATTACTTGAGATATTAAAGGGGTCATATGATGCTTTTTTAAAATATCAATCTGGACAAACGATTTGCAGTTTAGTAAGTGAGTCGTATTAATTGAGAAACTGCTCCAATTGATTAATAAGTGTTTGTGATTCACTAAAAAGAGTCAGTGATCTGCACTGTGTGATTGTGATTCACTAAAAGACCCGGCTCATGAGAATCATTCTCTCAGGAATTGGACTGCACTGGTCATGCTGCATGTTTGTAATTAGCTAAAAAGAACCAGCTCATATGAGTCATTCTCATCACTGGTCACGCTGCATGTTTCTGATTTGCTAAAATGGACCGACTCCAGAATCATTAACTCTGAAATTGGACTTGACTGATCACTCAGTATGTTTAGCACTTACAATAATGAAGCAAAGCACACATTTGCAGTATTTTAAGAACGCTAAAGAATACATGTGTGAGAATGTTAATGGAAACGAACGCCATTGAAATTGATTCTGTATTTTATGTATTTTGAATTTTTTTGTTTAACTGTCTTTTGCTCACAGCCCTGCTTGAATAGCTATTTTAAATTTCATTACATCTGTTTCTCAATGACAGCGATACATTTAAACAAAGCAAATGGATACATTTTTGTCAGGAGGAACGTCTGCAAAATAAAGACAAAAGACCCTTGTAATCCCTCGTGTGCCATCTAGAGATTCGGAAGAGATTTCTGCAATGTCGTAAAAGCAATAATGAACAACCTAGCAATAAAGGTTTTCTCTTGTGTTTGACAATATCCAAAAAACCATCAATCTGACATGCTGTGCAACCGGGGTCTAATCGCATAAACCCTCAGAGAAACTCAATGTGTCTTAAGGGGGCACTGAAATATGGCTCTTAATAAAATGTGTCCTGTTTATAGGCTTTTAAAGCTGATTCCCATGCATGATACGCCAGTCCAACCAGATGTTGCAAAGTGAACACACAAGATCTTCCCCTATCATTCCCCCGGGCCTCTGCCCTTCTCTAGATCACACAATATAAGAATCAGATGCCATTTAAAGACCCTGGCAGTGTTTTCTCAGGCCAGCAGGAGGGAAACGGCACGTAGCCCTCAAATAAAAACACAGTAAATGGGCAGAGAGTGAGCTGACCCATATAAACGGCTTTATGAATTGAGTACAATAATATTTGATTTATAAATTTTGCTTTTTTCCCCTGGAAAATAACATTTGATTAATTAATTTTGCTTCAAGTAAATGTGGGTCATATTGATTTAAAAACGTTTTGAGATATGAACTGACAAAAATGCAAGTAAAAAACTGATTTCTGTTCCCACTGAAAGCAAGAATGCTGCACAAACCAACCGATTCTCAGCCAATCAGAACAGAGTTTTTGACCACCCAGCACAACCACATAAATAGAAACCAAACAACCAATGATTTAATATTTTGATATTTATACTGAAAAACAAGACATAAATACGAAGCAAGAAAACATTTTTTGCAATGTAAAATGTTTCCCAACCATAATATAAATCGAAAGCTGGTTAAAACCTGAATATGTTACTGTCATTTTAAAATGATAGAAAACAATATAATGCTGGTTGATCTATTCATGAAACTTTGACTCACTGTTTAGTTGCCCGCATACAGTAATACAGTAATACCGTGATACAGTAAATGATAATATTTCATATATTCATTTACAATGAATTGAAAACAACTGTGTAAAAACCTCACTCATAGGATCTGGACAAAACCTTGTGACTTGAAGTTTCCCCAACTAAAGAAGCTCTATAGTGAAGTTTTGTTTACTTTTTAACGATTTTAACCTGTATATGTCAGAATCAAGGACAGCACTCTAGCAACAGAAAAACGACTCTTGATTGTGACCTAGTTCTGCTAGCAAACGGATCTGGTGTTTGTGTAGAAAAAGGTGTTTTTAAAGCGTTGGATCTGCAGCTCAGGATGATGATGATGCATCTGGTTCATGGCCAATTATGTGTGGTGTTGCGCTGAAGTTGTAAAATTAGATTTTTGGTAACGGCACGTAGCCCTCAAATAAAAACACAGTAAATGGGCAGAGAGTGAGCTGACCCATATAAACGGCTTTATGAATAGACTGTAAGCAGTAATTGAACTTAGTTCTATTTTGGTCAGGGACCTCCATTTGTGGTCGTCTTTTTCTTTCTTTCTCTCTAACAGATGTTCCCCTCTGTGCTGGACTCAATTCAGTAAATTCCCACAGTGCTCTTGGGGAAGGGGCTTTAAAGATCTCGACCATCTAACTCTGAGCCCTCTTATGAAAGGCTATTCAAGTCTCCAGCTAATACAATAACATGCTGTGCTTTTTCATTGCCACTAGACCTAATTTAGTATAGACTGCAGAGAAAACAAAAGTCTAGCTGGCTATGTGTTGTTGTTGTTGTTGTTGTTTATATATACGTAATAATAATGATAAAACGCGCTGAAGTTGTAAAATTAGATTTTTGGTGAGGTTTTGGTTGGTAAGCAATTAAGTTTCACATTAAATTCATGCTTATTGTTTATTTTTGGGCTATACTATTTAAACAAGTATTTTAACATTGACATAATGGCCCCATTCACTTCTGTTGTAAGTCTCCCTATAGCCCAGATTTTTGCCTATGGAAATTATTTTCTTGGTAATCAGCCACAAGTGCTTCTAAAGTAAGCTTAACTTGTACTGAACCCAGAAATATTCCATTAAGATGCACACAGTATATGTTGCATACAGTATGATTTCACTCACCAGGCTGTTGTGGTATTGTGTGCGGTCTGTCCCGGGCTCGTCAGGCTGTGTCTGATCTGACTGCAGCTGTGTTCATGATGTTGCTCTTGAGGTTGTGACGGAGCTGCGGGTTGAGCGGGCCGTCCGTCTCCGTGCCACTGACCTCGGGCCTGTTTCAGCCAGCGGCCGCCCAACCCGCACTTCTCCAGATAAACTCGACACACCTCATAGTTCATGGCCGAGTAATACAGAAAATCAAGCGCTAGCAGCACCATGACGAAGAATCCATAGATCCACACGCCGATTAATGCAGAGTAATTGCTGCGACAGAGAAAACGTGTAAGAATTAGATGCACTTAACATTTTATGTGGCCATAAACAAACGTTTTTTTGATACACAGTGTCAAAAAGTCTTGCAAAGTGGATGGAAACTCTTTAGCAGCACTAGTGGTCTTATAAAAGCTAAAGTACTTCAATAAATTCAAACTTCATTAGCGTTATATGAGGCATTTAGTGTTAATAAACCATTTTACAGTTCCTTCCGAGTATAAATCCCTGCCCAGACTGACAGAAAACTGCAGTAAAAGCGAAACTTTCCCTTTTTGATGAAGCACGGGCCTTGTGCTGTCAGACAAGGCCACAATTGACAGGGACAATATTGAGGTCTCGATAATGTATTGTGTTATTAGAGCCGAGAGCAAAGCGGAACAGATGCCATGTGTGTGATATCAGATCTCTTTGATGCTGGGACCCAGAGTCCAATAGGAGTGTTTGCAGAACGGGAGTGAAACTGGATTTGGCAAGGACATGAAGCAGAATTAATGACTAGTTTTAAACGAATTGCAATGTAATACATGTGATAAAAGGACCTTCACTTTTTTATGTGATGTGAAAAAATCAAAGAGATGCAAACATTCTGCTAAAAAAAGGCAGATTATATCAGATGTTTATCTAGGAAAACATATATTTTTTTCATTGCTGCAATTCCAGAAATATCTGGTGACATACTACTGCCAAAATAGATTTATGAGGGGAATAAAAGTGGGTCACAAAGTTGTTGTTAAATGATTGTTTTTGTCTCATATGATGAAAATTTTTTGCCACAAATATATATATAAAAAGTAGCAGTATATATATTTTTTTAAATAAAATATTAAAATGGCTAAATTAATATTATATTAAATATTATATTTAATTAAGCTATTATGATTTACTGAATTTTGAATTTTATGCATTATAGTTTTCAATATTTAATATATTATTATTATTATTATTATTATTATTAATATAATAATAATGGTGACATACTAATATATATATATATATATATATATATATATTTTTATTTTTTTTATTTATTTTTTAATAATAATAATTTATGCATTTAGCAGACGCTTTTATCCAAAGCGACTTACAG